ATTTCAAACTCGGAGCTACTATCAAACTGGCCAAAAACCCATAGCTACAGTCATACGTGTACGCAAGTCGCAGTGGATTGGACATACTATGCGTAGGAATAATGACAATGTGACCAAGCATGCATTAAGATGGAATCCATTTCACCAGTCAGATCGAAAAGCCGGCAGACCACGTAAAACATAGCGACGTTCCACTGAATCCGAAATGAACAACCTATGCTTAACCTGGAATCAATTAAGAGCTATTGCAAATAACCGGATCCGTTGGCGGTCGGCTGGTGCCCTATGCTCCAGTGGGAGTTGGAGGAACTCATATACATATATACCTCTATTACCGATTAATTTAAACATTTTCAAAATTTTCTTGTTTCCAAAAGTTTTACATATTTTGTTAAAAGTGACTCCAGATCTTTTTAAAAGAATTCATGTGATTTTAAACTGCAGACTTTAAATTCATTTTTAAAACATTTATCCTTAAATTGAGAATGACTCTACCCACTTCTAACGCCTAGTGTAGGGTATTGTAACTAAAGCTTTTTTGTAAAATTTTGAAATGTTTGCAAGCAGATTTTCAAACAATTTCTCATTGTTTAACATGTATGACGGAACAACAATATTAAATTTATAAAGAAGAGGGGAGGGTTTGTTGGCTACACTCTCTACAACATTGAAAAATTGACAGACAGACGGACGTACGGAGGGACAGACAGACAGACTGACAAGCAAACATGCGGTTCAAACAGCATAAAATTGTAATGTGCGTGTTTGCTAACGCTAGCTGCATTTAATAAAGTGCGTATTTTGTTAGAGAGCTACAGAAAAAAAAAACTCAGAAATGTATGTTTGTGTGTGAAACCAATCTAAAAAAAATAGAAAAAAAGTAGGTCACAACAACGCAATGAGCTCATTTACAACAAATATATACAGTACAACATAACGTCATTCATACAAAAAAAATTAACAGCAAACATATACACACAGATACATACTTACATATGTACATTTGTATGTAACTATGTGTGCAGTTGTTAGCAAGCAAAGTATCTATGCGTTACGCACAATTCAGTATAATTTACACTTAACTTGTACTGAGACTGTATGTGGCAATAATTACAATAATAAAAAAACAAACGAAATTTAGATGTAGATAGTAAAATGAAAAAAAAAAAAAAAAAATAAAAAACTAAAAACTTCATTCATTTAAACGCACTTTTGTAAAGAAAAAAATGTTCAACAAAAAAAAATACGCAACTTTTGTTTGACTCAAACTTTGTGTATATTTAAGTTATTTTTTTTATTTTAGTTGTAGTAATAATAATTTAGAAATCTACTAAAATATTAAACCTACAAAGAAAAGTTATTATTTTATGTTTATTTAATTTATGCAGTTAAGTTTTTTCTTTATACATTTAATAAAGTTATATACTTGTGCATTATTGGGGTTGGTTTTTTGGAAAAAAATTCGGAAGTTTGTTACTTTTGAAAATGTACTTGTACGTTATATGAGTATTTGACTGTGTGGCCTGACTATATTTTGTGAAATTTAATGCATTTAAATTACATTTTATTCATTCATGTTTTTTATTATTAATTTAATTAACATTAATATGCAGTAAATGTTTGGAAATTTCTTTTTTGGAATTATTTTCATTTTATTTCATATATGGTCTTATTGTTAAAGGAAATTATAAAATGTAATGATTCTATTAAACAAATACATAATAAAAGAAATATTTAGACATTAAAGTAAAAAATTTTCAAATAAACATTAAAAAATTACACTTTTTAAAGTTCTTAGCACTAAAAAAATAAAAAAATTTTTTGGCAGAAAAATTTTCTAGTAAAATTGTAAAATTTTTAATTTTTAAAAATTGCTAAAAAATCTAAAAACCTACAAAACTCAAATATAATTAACCAGTAATAAACCTTAATATATTGCCAATAAAACCAAATATAATTTATTAAAATTGCTAAACAAATAATGATTTTATTTACAATTATGTAATAATATCTCAATAGCAAAAGCGAAAATAATTTTGAATTTTTAAAAATTTGTAAAAAATCTAAAAACTTACAAAATGATAAAATAGTTTTATTAGCTTAAAGCTTAAACTGTTGGCAATTAAAGCAGCCCTATTTCATAAAACTCAAAGCAAATGGTTAATTTTATACACAATTAAGTGAGAATATTTGATTTTGGTGGAAAAGCTAAATTGAATTTATTTTTAATATTTAAAAATAACAAAATGGAATGAAATTTTTAAGAACAAAAAGTTTAAAATATTGTAGATTAAATGAGCTATAGCTTTGTACATTCAATCCATCATGATCAATTTTATTTACAATTAAGAGAGAGTAACTCATTTATATTGAAAGTTAAAATTGAAAAATTTAATATTTTCAAAATTTTGTAAAAAATCGAAAAAGTAACAAAATGCTAAACTGTTCTAAGATCTTAAAGCTAATAACGTTACAAACAAACATTTGATAAATAATATGGAAATCGAAACAGAATTATGGATTTTATTTATAATTATATAATGTTATCACATTTTGGCTATAACTCAAAATTGAAAATTTGTTTATTTTTAAAAATTCGTAAAAATCTAAAACTTAATAGAATTTAAAGAAGTTACTATCATCATCAAGCTTAATATATTGCAAATTCAATAAGGAATATTTTATTACAATTGTTTCATTATGACCGATTTTATTCACAATTAAGTGAGATGAACTCATTTAGATAGAAAGTCAAAATTGAAAAATTTTAAATTTATAAAATTTTGTAAAAAATCAAGAAATTAACAGAAAGTTAAACTATTCTCAGATCCCAAAGCTAAATATGTTAGAAAGAAAATCTGATATTTTATATTGAAATCAAAGTAGAAATGTTGTTTTTATTAATAATTATGTAATGTTATCACATTTTGGCTATAAATCAAAATTTAAAATTTGTTTATTTTTATAAAATCATAAAAAATCGAAAAATTAATAGAATTTAAAGAAAATACTATCATCATCCAGCTAAATATGTTACACATACAATCATCTATATTTTAATACAATAGATCCATTAAGACCGATTTTATTCTCAATTAAGTGAGAGTAACTCATTTATATAGAAAGTCAAAATTGAAAAATTTTAAATTTTTAAAATTTTGTAAAAATTCGAAAAAGTAACAAAATGTGAAACTATTCTAAGATCCTAAAGCTAAAAATGTTGCAAACAAAATCCTCTATAAAATATTGAAATCAAAGCAGAGCTTTAGATTTTATTTATAATTATATAATGTTATCACATTTTGGCTATAACTCAAAATTGAAAATTAGTTTGTTTTTAAAAATTCGTAAAATATCTAAACATGAATAGAATTTAAAGAAATTACTATCATCATCAAGCTAAATATATTACAAATTTAATGAGATATATTTTATTACAATTGATTCATTAAGACCGATTTTATTCAAAATTAGGTGAGAGAAACTCATTTAGTTTGAAAGTCAAAATTGACAAATTTTAAATTTTTAAATTTTTGTAAAAATTCGAAAAAGTAACAAAATATGAAACTATTCTAAGATCCCAAAGCTGTTTATGCTACAAACAAAATCTGCTATATAATATTGAAACCAAAGTAGAGTTTTTGATTTTATTTATAATTATGTAATTATGTAATGTTATCTCATTTTGGCTATAACTCTAAATTGAAAATTAGTTTGTTTTTAAAAATTCGTAAAAAAATTTAAAAATTAATAGAATTTAAAGAAATTACTATCATTATCAAGCTTAATATATTATGAATTTAATGAGGTATATTTTATTAAAAACGATGCCTATTTATTAATTTTATTTCAAATTAAGTAATAAGACTTCTTTTTGGAAAAAAAATTAGAAAATGCCAAAAACTAAACCTTCTAGATCTTGAATGTAATACTACAATTGCTACAAATTAAATAAATTTTCAAAAATAATAATGCTGACAAAAATTTATACATTTTTTATTTATAAATAAATTTTCAAACTCACCTTTATTTTATCAAATGCAAAATTATATTTAAGTGTTGTTGTTCCTTGTTGAAATTTGTTGTTGTTGTTGTTGTCCTTTTAAAGTTGTTTTTACACTTTTCACAATATACAATAATTTTAATTGTTTTAATTTTTTTTTTTTTCAATATTTTATATAAAAAGTTTTTTTATTAATGAAATATTTTATTTACTTTTTTTTTATAATTACGATCGAAACGAAATTTTTGCACAAACTTTCTAACTTTTAAAGCTGGAAACGTTTGCTTGTGGTGAGTCCAAACCAATAATTTTGAAAATAGGTCCCAATTTTTGTGAAAAGTTGTTGTTGTTTTAGTTTTGTTTTTGTGTTATAGATTAAATTTTACAAAAAAAGAAAATTTACACTTGTTGCTTTTTTGTGTTGTTTTTTTCTTTTGTATTAAATGCGTTTAGTTAAAAAGTTACATAAATTTATACAAAAATTTTAAATATTTTATATAAGGGTAAGGTAATTGATTAATTTATTTTAATAGTTATAAGTAATATATTTATATTAATATATTTGTGATTTAATTATATTTTTAGGGTTTAAATATTTTATCCTTTTTTTACATAATTTTTTTGTTTAAATAAATTTATAGATTTTTAAATATTTTTATGTTATTGAAAAGATTTTATGCCAAAAATTGTTTGTTTTTTTTTAGATTTTATACAACTTTTTACACTTATTTTTTTATAAAAAAAGAATTGATTTTTGTATAGTATTGCCCAAAAAATGTTTAATTTTTATATTTAGCCAAACTTTTTTTCTTGCTTTTTTTTTGGTTTAATTTTCAAGATTTATTTTGAATTTTTGTTTTAGTTAAGCCAATTATTTATTAAATTTTTTTGTTTTATTTGAATTTTTTTTTCGTTTTTGAAACTTTTGTTATGAATTTTGTTTAATTTTTATGCCAAAAATGTTTCATGTTTTCAATTTATTTAATTTTCACATTACAACTTTTAGGGTTTTCTCTTGATGATTGTATGAGATTTGTTGACCCTTTGAAATTGCTGCATTATTTTTATTGCTGCTTAAAGTTGTTGTGGCTAATGCTGTCTGCTGTTGCTGCATTTCCTGCGTTGACATTTTTATTCCAAATTCAAAAATCTCTGTGTCAATTATTGCCTAAAATGGCGTTGTTGTTTACATTAAACGAAAATTTCTGTAAGGAAAGAGTAAATGAAAAGGATTATTTTAGCATTTTAAAGGATTTTTATAGAAATTTTGGAAAATAAGTTTTAAATATTGGGATTAATTAAACCTCTTCACCAAAAACATCTGATTGCTTAAGATTTTTCTCCAAAAATTTAGTTTTCCTAATTGTTTCAACCAGAACAATAGTATGTTTTGCTAAATAATAAATTCTCTTTCACTATTCACTTTTTTCCAATAAGAATTTCAAACATTTCTCATTTAGGGGTTAGAAAACTGCACCCTGTTCAAGTTAATAAATCAAAAATCCAAAAAAAAAAAAATTAAAACAATTTTTCTTTATACTTCAACTAAGAATATGAAAATGTGCAGCAATATGTTGATATTTTACAAAAAATGTATTTTATTACAACTCCCAAGAAGTAAGAGCTTCAGCAGGGTGGTTGTAAACTGCAGCATTGCAGTTTTTTTAAACACATGCACAACACACAAAACTCACATGAAAACACACACTTTCAAACACACAACAATAACCAACAAATGCCAAAAAAAAACTTGTTTTTGCTGTTTGTTTTTACACGAGTTTGTACTCGTTTTATAAGGATTGAGTAATAATCGTGTTCGTTGTCGTTCATCATCATCATCATCATCATTGTGATTATTACTCGTTTGCTTAATGTAAAAATACAACAACGACATTTTTATTTCATACACTTTGCATGCGGCTTTAGTTGTTGTTGTTATTTATATACATATTTTTTTGCTGTAATATCTAAAGAGTAGTTTTTTCTTCTTTTATTGAGAATACTAAGAGAAGGGGGTTGGTTTTTATTTAAAAGGATAAATATTAGTGCAGCAGCAGTAGTTTAGTTTTTGTATTTGTGGTGGTAAGAAAAAAAGAAACTTGATTTGTTTTCTTGTTGTTGTTGCTACTGCTATTTTGATTTTGTTTGTTTTATTAAAAGTTGTTTAATGCAGTTTTTACTTTTTTGTGTTTTCTCTCAAAAAAAAAAAAAATATTGTTAGAAACAGGATTGCGCTTGCATGACTCAAAATGATAACTTAAAACACCAACAACAACAAAAACAGCAATAATGCTTCAATAAGCATATAAAATTTAAATTTGAATATGAATAAAAAAGCATAATATAATAATAAAAAGAAAGAAGAGAATGACTGTGTGAGAGTACTTGATGAGTTTGTTAAACACTCATAGAAAAATGTTGGTAAAAATCTAGCAAAATCAGCTGCAGTTTTGCAAAAATGAATTTCTTGCAATAACCTACATAAATAAATCAGGTGCCTGATAGGACAAAATTTCCAATATATGTTCCAGGGAACGTGAGACGAGTTCCTGTAAAGTTTTAAATTTGTCCGACAGATGGACAGATGGTCAATTAGTCAAATACACCTAAACCGATCAACCGATTATTTTAAAATTTGATGGGTATATATATGATCTTTACGTGTAGAGTTCACATGGCTAATCAAGGCGGACCGGGCACCACTAGTAACAAATGAAACTCAGCAACAATTTTAGAATTTATTCTAAAAAAAAAAAACGAAATCTAGAAAAGGAACAAACGGAACCACTTCAGGATTTATCGGGGTTCCAAAATAATTCTAAGGAGTTCAGTGGAACTTATAAAAGTTCTGAAATAACTTCTTAGTTGAAGAATTTTCAAAAATTTAAAAAAAATTCTTTTCATCGAAATAGAAAAATTGCTTGTAACTAGTGATGGCGGCATTAGTTCAGAAATCCGTTCTATGGAATATTGTAGAGATTTGCAAATATATACTTCTAAGAAGTTCAGTGGAACGCAAACAAATTCTGAAACAACTTCTCAATTGAAAAATTAAACAAATATCTTTTCATCGAAATAAAAAATTTACAAAACAGAAAAATATATTAAAAATTTTGAAATATTGCCTTGAGAAATGGCTGTTGAGTGATCTCTTAAGCTTAACTAGAACTATAGTTTTGAACCGTTGATTAAAGAATTAGTTTCAGGACCGTTTTATAGAACGAGTGTCGACGCTGTGAAGCTACCGTAGAACCAGCTCCAGTGGTGACAATTTCGAACTTAAAAGATTGGTCTTAACGCCAAAATTAACCGAGTACAGGGTATTACCATGCGTTCCATAACTAGTTGTGGAACTAAGTCTAGTTTTCCTACATAAACCCAATAAAAACTGATTCTTTTCAAAGGAAATGTTTTGAAAAGTTACAATTTTTGCAAAAAAAAATAAAGAGGATGGAAAGAAGAAGATTTAAAAACTGATTCTTTAAAAAAGAAATGTTTTGTAAAGAAAACTATTTTGCACGAAAAAGTTTAGTTGAGTGAAAAGTAGTGACTTTTGCACTTGACAACACTGGCCAGCTGCTAAAATAGATTAAAATATTAAAAAACTTCCTATAAAATTAGGAAAAAATCTCTTTTTAAAACTATTTTCAATATTATTTACTATAGCTTCCCTTAATATTATTTTTGAAATTGTATTTTATCATTTGCCAAAAATATAGCGAAGATCTCGTTTAAAATTTAACATTTTTTTAATTTTTCCTTTTTTTTTTGAAAATTTTCTAAGTTATTCTCTAATTATAGCAGGTTATTTTTAAACTCTTGATCTAACAATCTTAGACATTTATTATTTTCATAAATATTCAAATAAGATCATCAACAAAAAAAATTTGTAATTCTTTTTTAAAGTTTATTTTTAAAATTTGCTGCTTAATTTATAACGAAAAAAATTAGCATATTAATACCAAATTTTTATGTGTAAATTATAAATTAATTTAGATAAAAAGAACTAATAAATTAAAAAAAGAAATACCACCAATACAACAAAATTTTTGCGAATAAATTTTAATAAAAATATGAAAGAAATTCTTAATATGAATTTCTAAATTGTTAAAATTTTAAAAATATTTTTCAAAATTGAATTGAAAATTGAAAATATTTGAAAATTAAACTCAGCAAAGATATGCAGAAGACATTTTCAGGTTTGGAAATTTAATTAAAATCAATTGATAAGTATTGATTTTATTTAAAGTTATGTGATGGCATTTGGTTTTCATCAAAATAAGCATATTTTGGAAAAATTAAAAAAAAATTTTCGAAAATTCATGAAAAATTCTTTTCTGAAGTTATATATATAAAAATCAATAAAAAACTTTTGATTTGTTTCATATTTAAGTAATAGAATCTCAAAGAAATGCAAAATTGAAAATAGTTTTTCTAAAATTCTTTAAAATTGTAAAAATTATCAAAAATTGTATATTATAATGAGTTTACAAAGGTTAATGTATTATGAATCAAATTACATACTTTTTATTAAATTTTATTACAAAATTTTTAATTTTATTAAGAATTAAGTGTTGATATCGTATTTTGATAGAAAACTAGTTTGAAAATTTGTAATTTTTCAAGATTTTATAAGAAATCAAAAACTATTTAAAAATTAGTATTAATTTAACGAAAAGATGCTTATATATGGGCCTATTTTCATTGAATTCGATTTATGAAATATTGAATTTATTTAAAATTTAGTAGTTTTGTTTAAGTTTTGAAATTTTGCACTTTTGAATTGCAAATAAAGTTTGAATTTATCTAACAATTTTAATAAAATATAGCTTATTATGATAATAACAAATATCCAGTTATAAAACCTTAGAATATTATAGCGCTTTTAACTTTCGATTTTATAAAAATATTCTTTTGATGAAAATATTTTAAAAATTTTGATGAAAATATTTTAAAAAATTTTTGATCTTTCAGGTGAACAAACTTACATTGAAAAGTAATGAGCTAAAAAACTACTTCTTCATTAGCATTTTAAGTCATTATTTTAACACGGTGTTGTCATTGGAGGCAAGTACTTCTAAGCTCGCTTACAAATAGGGAGTTAAAGAAGTTCTTGCAATTCCTCTTACAAAGAAGTTGTTTAGTAAGTTGTTTTATTTTTTAATAATAAAAAGAGCCAGCTAGAATACGAACAAGGAACTTCGGTTTGTTAGTTAAATGTTTTACTCACTGCACCACTGCAAACTGAGTTCAACTATATCGGCCATAATTTACAGGTTTTTATACCATATTTATCAGGCCTGATCCATACCAATCGATATTGGAATTATTTTTGTTAAATAGGTATCTTGATTAAAACTTAAAAAATAACAACAATTACAAATGTATTTCAATTCAACCTTCAAATTGGTTTCATTTCGGTTTACATATTTTTTCTAAAGAAGCAAAATACTGAAGTAGTAACACTTTCGATCGGATTAGAATTCTGCGACAGTACAGAACAAAATTAAAATTTTTTAAAACTATAAGTGGCTTTAGGTTCAATTTAAGAAGAAATAAAATTTGCAAAATGTTTATTTTTTAATTTTAAACCAAAAATTTATAATTTTGTTAAAAATTTTTACAATATTTTATTAAATTTTTTTATAATTTTGAAATTTTTTTAAAAAATTTATAATTTTGTTAAAAATATTTCAAATTTTGTTAAGAATATTTAAAATTTGTATTAATTATTATTCATTAATTGCCCAATTTAGCTTCTTTCCCTTCTTTCTTCTTTTTTTCTTGAAAGTTGAAACTTTTTGTTTACAACCTTAACTAACAATTTTTCGCGAGTGTATTTGAAAACTTCATTTTTGTTTTCTTTCTTTTATTTTGCATTTTGTGCCGCCAATAATGAAAAACATTTTTGTGCTTTAAGTATTTATAATTTGCAAAGTTTTTGCTGTTGTTGTGTTTTCCGAAAATTGCGCTAATTTTCCTTTGATTTGTTGCACTTAAGCTGGCTTTTAAGGATTTTTTTTTTTTTTTTGTAAAAACACAAAGTGGAAACTTTTAAAAAGCCCCGGAACTTAAAATGCAAGTGTAGTTGTTGGTTGTGTAAAGTTAGTGTTTGCATGTGTTGGTTGGTAAATTAAGAAAAATATTGTGTGATAGAAAATAAGTAGAAGAAAAGTAGGAATACTTAGCCGCCAATTAACAATGAAAGAGAATTGTAAAAAATAGTTTTTTGTAGTTGTTGTGCTTTATCCTTTTTTTAATAGTAATCCGCAAAAAAATTATAAAGTGATGATGATGATGACGAAGAGGTTTAATAATCCATAAACAATACAGTGGTAAAGAAAAGTTTGTAATTTATTAATTTTTTTTAAATAAATGCACTTTAGAATTTATTTTTAAACAAAAGCACTTTAATATTACATATTTTGAACACTTTTTATTATGTTTTTATTTTTTGTTTTTGTAAAATATTTTTTAAAAATTTTTAATTTACCGCTTTTTTGCCATAATTGTGTAATTTTTTTTATTTGTTTTTAAATCTTTTAACTTTTTTGTTGTTAATTTCTTCATATGTTTATTTGTGTTTTTTTTAGCTTTTAGTAAAATTTAATTTATTTTTTTTTTTTTTGAATAATTTTGCTTGTGATATTTTTGAACAAAAACTTAAGAAAAAACGTTACGAGACATTTAGTGCACACACTGCGACAAGCGAGCGAGCACCTCCGAAACCTAGGTCCGAATAGACGAACATGAAATTTGTGAATTGCGTTTCTGGCCCACCACCACTAAAAGACCACACTGTCTGTATGTTTCGCTAAATTAGTGGCATCGCTATTGCGCTCTCAGAGAGTTAGAGAGCAGCGCGTATTACGCTTTGCAGTTGCTGCGAACATTTCAAATGCCTTTTCAAACTTTACAAATCCAACTCAATGTACTTTTTTCTTCCACTACACAACGGCCCAGGTCTTTAAATCAGCGTCAAACTCATAAGAAATATTTGGGTTTGTGTGTAGTCTTGTGTGTGAAGAACTTTCGCTGCCAGCGGCGCCACTTTGTAAGCTGCAAAAAAAATATACACAAGAATGACAATCGTAGCAGCGTCTAACAGAGCATTAAAGCAGCGCATAAGAGAAACAATAATAACAAGAAAATAGAAAAAAACATTGCTTGCTCAAAAAAAATAAATATTCATTTGCTGTACAAACACACACGCTTTACAACAACAACAAGAACAGCAACCTCCACCACTACTAAGTTAGTCTGAAAAAGGTGGATTTTTTGTTGTTGTTTGTATAAGAATTCAATAACAACAATAGGCAAAAAACCAAAGCAAATAACAAAATAAAAACTAAAATAAAAAGCGCTTGCAGAGTTGTGAGAGCGCAGCAAACGCAACACTCACACATAGCCACAGCCACTTACTAACACTGCCACCACCATCACAACAACAACAAAACAAAGTGCAAATCTTTTGAACATAAAAAAAGCCCAGAACTAACGAACGCATTAGCAAAAGCAAAATAAAAAAACAAATACAGTCATTTCCTCTCTCTCTCTGCAAAAAAGAGTTATTTTCTCTCTGTCTCTGTATAATTTGAGCAGCTCTGCTTAAATGCGACTGTGTCAGCTGTGTGTGCGCTTGTGTTGGTGTATACATGTGTGCTAAACATTTCGGTGGTTTGTTTTGTTTTTTCTTAAATTTGTTTTATGCCAAACATTCGTACCCGGCGAGTTTAAAGTAAGCAATTGTCAACTTTTTTTAATTCATGAACCGATGTCGTGTGTCTGCTGTGGGATCTAGAGAATGTAATCTATGGTAGGGATTCCCACCGATTTTCACATAAATTAAAATATTTTAAGCGAATAGATTTAGTCGGTTTTGTAGTATCTGCTGTTGTCCACCTTATGTAGCTATATACAACCGAAAATCTAACAAATCAATTAGGCATCAGTTCCAATTTTTATTGCTTCTATAGGATAATATAGCAAAGACGATTTAACTAGTCTTTCTGTTCGTATTTAAAGGAAGGGTCCAGATATCTATGAGTTCATACTTTGTCTCAAAAATTTTGCATTTTAAATCGGCCAAATCTCTAAATATCGGATTTTCCTCTATATTTTTTTATTTACATTCAAGAGGTCGGTTCATAATTGACACAACCGCCCATTAAAGGTCCTATTCCAGACAGTAGTAAAATATGACGAAAAGATCGATTCACGAGAATCTAATAGGACAATTTCAAATAAAATTCGCTGGGAAAAGAACTGTTCTAAATAATGTGTAAGTTTTTGTAGAACTAGTTCCGAAAGCGACAAATTCGGAAAAAATCATTGATAAGAAAACTGGTACCAGAACCGTTCCATAGAACCAGTTCTTTGATCAATGATTTAACCAGGATATGACTTAATAAGACCAAATGTGATTAAAAAGCATTCCAATGTGGCAATACTGTTGCTATCACTGTTTAATGCAATCTTAAAACTGGGTGTTAGTTCCAAATATCGGAAGATATCGCAGATAATATGATAAAGGCTAAACTTACATTCATTCGACTAAATGCTCCTGAAGAAGATCATGACATATCACATTCAATAATGTTACCATGGCCTCATCTGATTAAGTCACCAAAAGAATTATAATGAAGTTGAAGTTGTGCATTAGCTAATCCATCACAAATTAAAACGGAGTATTGACAAGTATAAATTCTATTAAATCCTATTTGGACATACAGCATCCAATTATGGCGATCAGCATGTCATTATACAAGAGAGAGTAAAAAGTTTTTAAAACTTGAAGAATGGTTATTGTTAGGCCTTCATCTATCTATCTATCTATCTATCTATCTATCTATCTATCTATCTATCTATCTATCTATCTATCTATCTATCTATCTATCTATCTATCTATCTATCTATCTATCTATCTATCTATCTATCTATCTATCTATCAGGAATTTAGTTCAAACATTTTTGCATTCGGTAGGTTTATAGTTTGTTTTTTAATCAGTCTGGCCGGAGGCTACCACAATCCTTAAGAGTAAATTAGTACCATGTTCTGCCGGGTACTAATGTGTGTAAGTGTGTTTATTGCAAATGCAGAATTTTTTTCTATAAGTTTATTTTAGTTTTTATGTATTTGCATTTCCCATTCTCTTTGCAGCCCTCGCTCTAAGAAAAATGAAACAAAATGTAATTCTCTTACTCTCTGCTGCTGACTCAATTAAATTAACTCAATCTTCCAAAGTTCTCTTTATTAATACAATTGGAATTTTGTATAATAGTGAGTGAGTGTGTGTGTATGTTTTACTAGATTTTTTCCTTTTAACGCATTTGCAATATGCAGCATTTTTACTGTGTGTATCCCTTTTTTCAATTGGATTTTTCTTAAGGATTTTCTTTTATATCCTGTTTCGTATGTACTATGTGACTACTAGCTGTATGAGTTTGCATGTGTGTGTGTATACATATTTCTATTTGATTATTTTCATTTTATTAGTTTTTCCAATTTGTGACATTTTTTATGCTTTTTTGTTCATTCGTTTCATTTCAATTCAATTCTTTAAAGGGTTAAATTGCATGTTTTCCCTGTCATTTGTCTGCAGTGCATTTATTATTATCCTTATGTGCCTGTTTTTCTTTTTTTTCGAAATCTATGTTTGATTTTTGGGGTGAGTTTATCTAGGCGAAATGTTGTAAATCCTTTTTGTGTGTATTTCATTTTTTCTTTCTAATATCTCATATGCAAATTACCGGATTTCTATTTATTTATGTTGATGAAATGTAGTTTTCTATAGATGAATAATGCATAATAGTTGCTATTCAATTCATTTACAATTTTTTCTTTCTTTTGTAGAGTTCTTGAAAATCTATTGTCTATAACAATGAATGAAAATTAATTTTTAAACAAAATAAATTGGTATTATTCAAGAAAGTCGAACATTTTTATCAAGTTTTAGATTTTTTATTCCCATCAAATAAAATTATTGTTTTTAATGCGGTTTTTTAACTAAACTAATGATTTTTTAAATCCTGTAAATAAAATGTATTGTTTGAAAATGTTAACAATTTGACAATGAAATTTAACAATGTTCTGCATATGTATTACCAGATTTTTAATATTTTCCAAGAATACTTTTGTAATATTAAATTTTACAAAATTTCCCGTATTATTGAGCTATGTATTTGGATACTTCTTGTCTGTTCCTATAAATGTGAACAAACATTTCTTTATTATTTTCAACATACATAAAACTAGAAAAAACTTGTTCGTTCGAATTAAGAAGAACAGGCCCATAGCAATAGGCCCATAGGGTAGAATTGAATCTCAATTGTATATTTGGACTGTAATACAGTTGGGAGAGAGACTAGATAGGTCAAAGTTTCAAGATTTAATTTTCGGATTCTCCTCGCCCATAACGATGGTGTAAAGTTTGACTAGGTTATTAGTTACTTTGCCGCATCTTAGTTAGGGTATAGTCAACATAATTTTGGGACGTAAAATCCGTTTTGAAATATCAGTTTAAAATAAAATGATATTTTACTTTGATTTTTGTATTTTGTCTGAGGCGATTTTTGATATCTTAAGGAAAAATCTTTTGAAAAGTGAACCGATACAGGTTAAATAGCGTTATAAACTGAATAGCGGCATTCTCTGACGCGATTTATTATATCTCAAAGAAAAACTATTTTTAAATTACTATGGTTAGCAACCGATACCGTTATTAATGCCGTTACCAATTAAATATCGTTTTAAATTGAATACCGTTATCAATAACGATTCAGTATAAACACTGGTATTCATTAACTGTCTACCTTTATACCGGTATCATATCCGTCACCATCACGCCAGTCTTGTAGTAAATGAGCGATATGTATCTACATATGTATGAGCACGATACAAATCAATACTGATATAATCACCAGTTTCAATGCCGAAATCTGCTATACTATGCAAACTCATTTTTACAAATGTTACTTCTAAGTATCCAGGGAAGTATGGGAAAAAAGGATATTGACCGCCTTCTATCAATACACAAAATTCTAGTGGCTCACAAATTAGTGTACTTAAATAAGTCATTAAAAATAGTGAGTTAAAATGTTTTACGCAAAAAAACAAAAATCCTATTTCGATTTATGTATATGTACAAAGCATTTTTTAACAAAATAGTCGAATACGACTTTTTCAGACAAAAAGTCCATTGTTCGAAAGTCGATTTAGAGAATCCTACTACCCTACCCTATACCACTTTAGTGGGAAGTGAATATTGTGTTTGAGCTGATGTATGTAAAGTTATGTATACAGGGCTATCAGATCTTACAACATTGGCAGACAATTTTTCAGAAAATGTCTAACAACTGTGTCAACTTCCAACTTTTTGTCCTCCAACGTTGTCAGAAAAAACATTGCCAGTATATTGTAAAACAATAGTATTGTGAGACATCTAAAAATCGTGTAAACACTTTACGTTCCCATTGCCAGATAATTGTCTGTCAATTTTTATTGTCAGATGTGCGAATGGAACCAATGTCAGATAAATGTTTTCAATTGGTAACA